AAACGTAACTAAAAGTCAATAAAATATTAGATAATTATTGAAAATATGTTAATTTGTAAAAATTACTAGGTAGTTAAAAATAACAAAACAAAAAAAGGCGTTCACTTAGATTTTGTAAATTTATGTCAATTCTGGTCATCCATACTAGCTATCAGCACCTCATAACTTATCGATAATGACATGAGAAAAACAGGACCTGTTGTTAAGAAATGCTTGTATACTATTTTTTTATACTTATAAGTAAGTAATATTTATTTCAAATCAGATTAATTTAACTTTAAATTTTCTCATTTTACTCAAATAAGGTGTCACAAATATTTATTTTTTTGAAAACCAAAGATATTTTAAAAGCAAGCATTCCAATCTGTATAATTTCTGTTTTAAATACACCAGAATATTTTACTTACTGGAAATAGTAAATCATTTAGCTTGCAATTAAAGTAGGTATGTTCAATAATTTACTGAAAAAAACAGCATAGCATGATGAAAAAGGCTGAAAAATTAATAAAAACAAAGTTTTATCATCAAAAATGTTTCTTATTAAGAGGAAAGAACACAGTGTTTTTAAAATTTTTTCATCCTTTCTAGTTTGAAATTTAGGTTAAAAATCTTATTTTTTTATGTCAGCTCTCTCGTAATATTTAGCATTATTTTTTAGCCCTTTTTTTTTCAGCTGAAAAACACATTCATTTGAAAATCTGGCAAAAATCAAATAATTGTCAGATTTTAATGAAACTTTCAGAACTTATTCACAAATGAACAAAATCATTTTAGAAATGTTTGTTTTTTAGAAAGTTATGGTAAAAATAATTTTTTTACATCTGTTACCCCCCACCCACTTAATTTTATGAAAATTTCAACTATGCGTATTTAAATGCAGAAAACTTTGAAGAATATAAATCATCAATTTTTTTCTTTTTTTTTTTAAATCAAGAAGCATTTCTACCCAAAATTTACCTCTGAATTGTAAAGTACAAAACCCAATAAAACTAATAGATTATGTAATTAGAAAAACTTTTAATGGCTTTTATGAATAATATGTTGTTTGAAGCCAAAATATTTTTCTAATGGGAAATGAATTTTTACAAGAATTGTTTTTTTTTTTTAATTTTAAGTATAAAATTTTAAAGATATAAATATTGTTAAATATTTTAAAATTAAGTTTGAATATGTGTCTTTTTGGAAATGCTCTCATTAAAAAGATCTATTTTGACAAATCATAAATTTGAAAGCTTATTACAATCTGCGAAGCATTAGTATATTTTAAATAATTTTTTTAATATAACAAAACGTATTTAAAAAAATGTTTTCTCCAAAACTATGGATGCATGGTTCAGAAATGATGTCATGTGTTTTAAAAGTTGTTTCTCCCAATGGTGAGGATCTGGCCTCATAAATTGTGTTGCTTTCATTCTGGCTAGCGCATGTCAAATTCTCTGACACACTGATGATCGTCATTGCATTTTCAAAATTTTTAATTTTTTTTTACATATTTCACTAAATATTTTCTTTTTTAAATATAGTGAATTTTTTCTTTTTCAGTGAGAGATATACTGCAATTAGTAATTTTTTCTGTTTTAGATTAAATTTTAGGGACAGAAACAGTGCAGGCTTTGGATATATCTTCGTTAAAAAAAGGACCTAAAAAAATAAATAAAATATTAGACTTTTGAAAGAATTTAATTTTTAAGAATTACTTTATAGTTAAATAAGCTGGTTCAGTTAAAATTCGAAAATACTGTCACTTCTGCCCTTCCGTCCAATAAATTGCCCTGACGTTAGTTGTCGATACATTGACATAAATGTCAATTCACACCTCCAAAACCAATCATCACTCTTAGACATGCTTCTCTTATTTCCAACTAAATTTTTTCTGCTAAAAATTAAGTAATGTTTGTTTCCAATTATGTTAAATTTTCTAATTTTCCTAAAATAACTTTTGAAAAAAGTTTAATTTAATTTTACAAGATTTTTTAAACGGAGAATTTCACTTTTGTTTAAAAAGTTCTCAAAAATGTGTGACATGATCGATTTTATGTCAATTTTGCTGACTTAAAAAAAAGAAAATTTTTAAGTAAAATTTTGGATGTGCTTGGAAGGATTAAAAATAATCAAAAAATACTTTGGCCTTTCCTATTAATAATAGCAAACAGACTAAAAAAATTCTTTATCAAGTTTGGAGCCTTTTTTCTTCAGGGTATGCTCTTTTTTAGCGAATTATTGAACATACTTAAACGGTACATGTCATTAAGAAATATTTGTATACTATTATGTCATAAGTAAGTGATATTTGTTTCAAATCAGATTAATTTAACTTTAAATTTGCTCATTTTACATAAATATTTTTTTGAAGATTTTTAAAACCGATAATTTTGTTTTGTTTACAAATTTCTTAAAAAGTGAGAAAATGGCTGCTTGTAAGATTTTTTGAAAGCAAGCATTCCAATCTATGTAATTCCTGTTTTAAATACACCAGAATATTTTACTTACTGGAATGATTTTTCATTTTTAAAATTTCATTTTTAAACCAAGGTATCAAAACTGAGCAAATGTGCCTAAAATAAAAACTGTAATAAAATTTTGTTTGCAAAGTTGTTTTCCTGCTATAAACTTTTAGTTGAGAACAAAAATTTTCCCAGAAAAATGATTTCTAAAATTAAAATGATTTTAATATTTTATGTGTATTTATTTATTGTTACACTATGTGGCCATTTCTGAAGTGTTGTTAAATAATAATGGAGATTTTTATAGTGAGAAGCTGTAAAGTTGAACAATATCCAATTAAAATTTTTTTTTTTTTCATTTACACTGTTGTCCTCATCTTTGTCATATTCATGTTTCAGCTGTTGTACACTCCAGCCTACTTCAAGTGATATGTTAAAATTTCAAACCAAACCCTTTATTTTCTTCACTGTGGTAGATTGTCCTAGTTCCATGTGCCATGCCTTTTCTGGATATCTAAGTTTTAGTTATTTCTCTATAGTAACTCAACTTTCCAAGATTGTGGTCAGGTATTGAACTCATAACTCTTTGGATCAAGTCACTGGATTACTTCAACCAATTCTTTTATCCACTGGGCCATTTTTTTTTTTTTTTTTTTCATGTACTGACATTTTCCAAATTGCATATAAAGAAGGAGTATTAAATAATTTTTTTTTACTTTTTTATTATTTGCCAGTCAAATCCTGTGACGGAAAATGTATTAAATATCTTCATGCACTTGTTAATTGGTGACAGTACGCACAAAGAAAAAAATTTTTTTTTTTTTCATTCTTACTTTTTCTTTTCCATACTTTAAAGAAGATATTCAAATCGCTGCAGTAATTTTTTAATACATTGATTAAAAAGTGCGGTGTAATACCTACAGAAAAGTTTAGTCATTTTGCATACAATTTCTATTAAAAACAATGGGAAATGGAGAAAAATGTGACTTGTAAACAAAAAATATAATCGGAAAATGTTCATTTTTTTTATTTGCATGAGTTATGACTTGAAATGTATAACAAAATATGCTGGAATGCATTGAAATCCAAACAATGTTAGTATAATTTTCTAATTGAAGATATGAAATCAACACATGTTTAATAATTTTTTTTTTCTTTCAGATATTTAAAATCCAGTGTTAAAACACATGTACTCACTCCTCTGATGATGGCATATTAATACTGTACAGAGAAACTGGTTATATGTTCAGTGATGAACAGGAATAGTATCTATATCTTTTGAATCTGCTTTCTGCGAAGAAAAACTGAAACAGTGCTGTAGCAACAAGAAAAAAAAAGTCAACCCACTTTTTAAAATGTGATTATTTATATTTACAAAAGACACTACAAATAAGTAGTATTCTTGCACAAAATGTCATTATATCTGTTACAATGACTTCTCATGGAAAGATAAACATGCACGGGTACACTAATAAGAAAACATATTCATGTCAAATATGTGCTTCGGTATTTTCACGTAGGTCAAATTTAAATAGACACCTGCAAATACACAGCAGTGAGAAACCCTACTCATGTGAAGTAAGTCAGAATTTACAGATAGTTCAGATTTAAAAGGACACATGCGAACTCACACTAGTGAGAAACCATATTCATGTGAAGTGTGTGGTTCAGCATTTTCACAAAAATCACATTTAAATCGGCACATGCAAACACACACAGGTAACAATGGATATTCATGTGGAGTATGTTGTTCAACATTTTCACGAAGATCAAATTTAAAGAGACACATGCAGACACACACCGGTGAAAAGGCATGTACATGTGAAGTGTGTGGATCATCATTTTCAGAATTTTCAACTTTAAAAGGACACATGCGAACACACACTGGTGAGAAACCATATTCATGTGAAGTGTGTGGTACTGAATTTTCACAGAAATCACATTTAAATCGACACATGCAAACACACACTGGTGAGAAACCATATTCATGTGAAGTGTGTGGTTTAGCACTTTCAGTAAGATCAAATTTGAAAAGACACATGCGAACACACACAGGTGAGAAACGTTTTCCATGTGAAGTGTGTGGTTCAGCATTTAAAGAAAATTCTGATTTGCAAAGACACATGCAGACACACTCTGGAGAGAAACCATATTCATGTGAAGTGTGTGGTTCAGCATCTTCACGCAGATCAGATTTAAAAACTCACATGCGAATACACACAGGAGAAAACCATATGCATGTGAGGTCTGTGGTTCAGCATTTTCATGGAGTTCCTCTTTAAAAAATCATATGCGAACACACACTGGTGAGAAACCATATTCCTGTGAAGTGTGTGGTTCAGCATTCTCACAGAGTTCACATTTAAAAACTCACTTGCGAACACACACTGGATAAAAAAACATACTAATCTGGAGTGAGTGGTTCAAAATTCTTCATGCTTTCTGCCTTAAAAGATACATATGAACATAATTGTGTGAAGCCATATACATTTGAAGTTTTGATTTGGCATTTTCACAGTGACCAGATTTAAAATGACAAATCAAAAGACATAAGAGAGAAACACCAGTTCCCATACAATCACCAAAGTTAAGCAATATCATACCTGGTCAGTATCTAGATGGTTGACCACTTGGGAATACCAGGTGCTGTAAGCTTGGATGTATGGGTGGTGTAATGGCTCAGAATTGTTGATCACAGATCTGAGTTCCAATTCTAGTTGGTTTTTTTTATATTCACTTATGTGCAAATGCCCTTGGGAAAGATATGGATCCATCTCTTCTCCCCTCAGATATGGGTTAATTAGTAAGATTTGTATCACTAAAATGTATCTTAAAAAAGAACTCTTGAAATTCTAAAAATATTTTTATGTTATTTAGCAGCGTGTAGAAGAAGTAGTCAACTGCTAAAAGTGAGTCAAGTGGATTCTACAATGAATATCCAACTGCAGATCAATGCATCCAGTATTCACTACTGTATTTACGGTAATGGGGGCTTACTCATTATCGTCCGTAGGTATGCTACAACACTAATGATGTCTAAAGCTAATACAATAGCTGCTATTTCATTACTGTATATTGAGGATTTATCAGGTAATTGCCTATTCTTTTTCTTTGAAAAATCACAGCACATCCTACTTTGTCCACTTCCCTGGATCTGTTATGAGGTCAAGTGTATTGTTAATGTAACTTACCCCGTGTTACATGTATTAGTAGTTGATAGAGGATTCTTTTTCTTTTTTATACTGGAAATGAATAGAACGTACAACAGTAAAATACAACAAGCAAGACTTTGCAACACATGCTGAAATTAATGATAAGAATGTGTATTTTGGTGATGTCATTGCAATACTGGTTTTGTTCTCAGGGTTATTGTCTTTTTTAAATTAATGTCTTGCTTATAATCATTCCAAAGATTTTGTGGTTGAGGGAGTCTCTTGAAACTATGAACTGCTGGATTTTCACAGAGTGAAGAAAATACATTTTGTTCAGTCTGTGTTGATTTCACTATTCTCTCTTGCTTGCGGTGGAATGGTCTCATCCCTTGACTCTGACTGTCACTGGTGACAGTAGAAAAGCTATTTTTAGAATGATGAAATTTTAGATTTTTATTTTTATTATTTTTTATAATGAAATATCATCATCATGAATCAATAACAGATCCATCTGTAATCCATATGATTTTTATCTTTATTATTTTTTTTATAATGAAATATCATTATCATGAATCCTAACAGGTCCATGTGTAATCCATATGATTAAATTTAGAGTATTTATCATGGATAATCTCCAATTTTTCCATAATTTTTATTTTTTTAAGCATTTCACCCCAAGCAAAGCAGGAAACCACTAGCATGCAAGGGGTTACAGAGAGTTGGTGCGAGAGAAAATAGGAGTGATAGAGGAAAGGATGAAGAGAAGGATAGGTGATAGATCAAGGCATCTGGAGACATCGATTGACATTACATTTGAAGAGTTGGAGATTATAGCTATCAGGGAAAAGGGGAGGGAGTTCCACAGGCGAGAGGTGCGAGACATGAAGCTATTGGAGTAGAAGAGACGGCTACATTTAACAGTTTCAACAGTGAAAGGGTGTGAGCGAGATGCCAGCCTAGTAGAATGCTTAAATTCATGAAATCTGGGAACCAGCGAAAGCAGCTCATTGGAGCAGTTACCATGAAAGTATTTGTAAAAAAGACAGAGGGAGGCAACAGCATGTCTGTGAGAGACACTTTGAACCGACTGCTCGGTTTGAACTCTCTTCCTACGGGGAGGAGTCTCCTTCGGGGAGGTAAAACTGGCCCTGATAACCGTTTTTTGGCCAAGCCTAATGGCTCGGGAATGCCCATGATAAAAAGGCATTGTGCCACATGACACCCTCGTGGGGGGGTGACTCAATATCAAGAGAGTGACTACAAACGAGATGTCAGATCAGGGCCAATTATGTTGCATATCTGTCTCTGGATTTTATCAAGAACCTTCAGACAATCAGAAGTGACCATATATGGCAGCAATACTCCATGCAAGGGCAAATGGTTGATTTGTAGATTTGAAGGATCAACTCTGGCAAGAAAAATTTCCTGGCGTGTCACAGGGAGCCAACTTTCCTTGCGGTGGACGAAGCTATTGACTCAATGTATTTTTTCCATCTCAAGTCAGCAGTCAATGTGAGACCAAGTAGTTGCAAAAAGGAGCTCTCGAGAAGTTGAGCGTCAGACATTCTAATGGGAGGCATGGCGGGTTCTCTGTGGTGAGTAATAGAGGGCAGTTTTGTTTTTGAGGCATTAAAGTTAACCAGCCAATTCCTGCCCCAGTTCACAACCAATTGGAGGTCCTTTTCGAGATGAATGGCCAGGTTAGTTTTATCAACAACACTAGATTTGTTTTTGAGGCAAGAGTAAATTGTAGTGGAGTCCACATAGATGACTACTTGGGAATCTATTATGTCAGGAAGATCATTGATGAAGATAAGGAACAGAGTAAGGCCTAGGATGGAGCCTTGGGGAACACCTGGGAAAACCTTGGGGAGCTAGAGGAGAATCCGTTGAGAATGACCTTCAATTCACGGTTTGACAGGAATGATTGTATTAAGCCAAACCGTCAACCTGAAATTACATAACCCTGAAGCTTGCAAAGAAGGCCTGCATGCCAAACACTTTGGAGATATCTAGAGCCACGGCATGAGCTTCTCTGTTATTATGAAGAGCTTGGTAAACAATTTCAGTGATGGTCATAAGCACATCAGCTGTAGAACGGACAAAGCGGAAACCATATTGCTTGTTGGAGAGCAGATTATGGTATGTAAGGTGCTTAACCACTTCGGCGTTGATTAAAGCTTTGAAGACTTTGCTGAAGAGGGGTAGGAGACTGATAGAATGGTATTTAGAAAGGTCACCAGAGTTCTTAAAGACAGGAACAATGGATGAGGACTTCCAACAGCCTGGAAAACAAAATGCATTGGGGCAGTAGTTATATAATTTGGAGAGGGCAGGGGCCAGTTCAGGCGCACATTTCTTCAGGACAATGGCTGGTATCCCATCTCCACCACTAGCCATGTGGGGGTCTAAATTAGAGATAATGCCCAATACTGATGACAGGGTTATGTGCAGCTCACTCAATAGAGCCTCAGTTCTAAGGGGGAAATTGGGTGTGGGTACACTGGAAGAGTCGAGCATTGAATTGAATGAGAATTTCTGAGCAAAGCATTCAGCAGAAGTGGTCAGAACCTCAAACTGGTTGAACAAAGGAGGTATAGAGGGTTTTCTATTGTTAAGTACACTCTTGCAGAGATGCCAATAATCCTTGGAACCGAATTTACGAGATGCAATACGTTCTTTCATTCGAGCAGCAAATAGTGACTTTGCTTCATTGTGGACACACTTACACTCCTTACAGACAGAGACAAAGAGACGTCTATTACAGTCAGACATGTTGCTACAATATAGGTGGAAGAAGTGGTTCCTATGGGCAATGGCAGCTGAGTAAGCAGTGGAGAACCAAGGGGAGGAGTGCATTTTGACCTTATATTTCCTTGAGGGGATGAAAGCCTCGATTCCAGTTTTAACCCAGGAGATCTTGTTATGGTATTCGTTGGTAGAAATAACAGTAAAGAACAAGAGACAAACAACAAGACATGTTAAACTTACAAGGGAGGCAACTCTGCTCTCGAACCAAGCGACTTCTTTTATTCCAGGAAGTAACTGGCTATCCATGGAAGGTAACTCATGTCATGACATCCTCCTTTCATTATAAGAATTGTTCACTGAAAAAAAAAAACTATGTGAACTCTTTCTATAAGTTGTATTTTTGGGGAGGCTTTATGACACAACCAGATCTAGTGATTGTTTCTGGGATCTCGTGTGACATTAGGGACTCTGCAGTTTGGGACTTTTGGAGTTCTTGACATATGGCGCATTGTTGTACTATCTTGTCGATGTTGCTATTTATGCCACTGCAGAAAATGCATGTTTTTGCCCTGAGCTTGCATTTTTCACTCCCTTGGTGACCATTGTTATGGGGATGCATTTCTATAATAAGGGATTCCACTGAGTTCTACTTGTTATTACAAAAAAGTTTTCATTCATGAAGTAGTTGTAAAATAGAGAAATTAGAAATAGAATGTTTGGAAGATTCTAAATCATTCTAGTATATTTGAGAAAAATCTAGAGGATTCGAGAAACATCTAGAAATATGTAAATTAGGTGTTAGCCCCTATAAAAATGGGATTTTGGAAAAGAGTTGTCAGTTGGTGAAAGGAAATTGTTGCCTGTATCAACTCCAGCTTTTTGATTCAAGGATTATTATATCCAGCCGAAAGAATCTCTATAAAAATATTGCCGACCAACCAAAACCCAAAAGAATTTCATGGAACAAATTTGGGAAATAGAATTTTGACTAATTTTCATTGACCAAACTAAAAATTAATATTTATTTACACACCTTTGTGGATTTCCAAATATAGCACTTAAATTACTTCACTAGCCCTAAAGATATATAAAGATATTTGACTCCCTTTCCTTCTCCCTCGTAACACTCCGCCAGTAATTCTGTGTTTTCTGTTTTTGTAGGCTACAATTGATTATCTTGTATATATTTTATGTTGTGTTTTAGTAAATTAAATATTTGTTTGTGATTTAGCTCTGTGTCGTGCTAAATCATTTTTTTTCCTTTGTTACAATTATCAACACGTAACACCATAATGTATTTTTTCCAGTGTTTCAGGCTGCATTGATTTAGGGATCAGTATCCTGTCACCTTTGAGCAAAATGCCATTCTCAATAGAGAGCTCATCTCGATAAGACCAGTATGGATGAAGATCTTTATGTATTTCTCTGTGCGATTCTGGGCAGCCTTGAAGAATATGTACCCTTAATTCACACAATATTGGGTTGGCGTTAGTTGCTTGATGGATCTGAGTTAATTTTTTAGATGAGAATTGCACAAAGAATGTCCAAAATTTTAATTAAAAATCTTTTTTTTTGAGTCAGCAAAATTCCCATAAAATCGATCATGTCTGCCATTTTCGATAACATGGTAAACAAATGTTAAATTCTTCATTTAAAAATCTTGTAACAATCAATTATACCTTTTTCAAAAGTTATTTGAGGAAAATTAAAAAAATTAAACTTAATGTAACTGAAAATAACCATTACTTAA